GTAATCGTGAACAAGATACAGAAGAGTGGTGCTGGGGACAACAGTTTGCTTAATTCAAAGGGATAAAGTATTATGGTCTGACCGGTAGGTGGTCCCAAATATTCCGGTCTGACCGAACCGAAATAGTCTGTTCACTTAATTTCTTGGCTAAATTCTGGAATTTTGGGCTGAATGGAAAGCGCCCCCAATTTTTCTCCTAGCTCGATAAAGCAATTGGTCTGTTTACAAGCCAACGCTTTGAAATTCAAGATTTGTTTTCAGTGGCGACGGAGTTCAGAGTCGTAATCCGGGAAAAGGAAAGCCTAATGAGCTAGTGCAAACAGCGCTCCGACCTGTGTTCATCCGTCTCCCTCCCCTAAAACAACATCTAGGAGGATGAGTGCACCGGTTCCGCTTTATGACTGTTTTGGTTGCTCGGTTGCTGGAGTCTGGAGCAGACTAAGCGAAAAAACTAAAACCAAACAGGACGCATGATAGGAGCAAGGATTGTGACTGGTTCATTCATTTTTTTCTGCTTCTGACTCTAATATGAATCGGAAATTAAAATGACGGACAATCTAGTTTTACTAGATCAAGGGCAGATTCATGAGTGGTGTTGGAAGAAATCCGTGGATCTTCCTGATTCTTGTGACCCTGACTACCTGTTTTAATTTCTATAGCTATTCCGTCTCTCTTCCCTCCTCTCCCCTATCCTAGGGAAGTTTCACGAGTGAGTCGCTCCGTTACATGATATTTCTAGCAGGCTTTACACTTTCACTACGAATATTGAGAATCGCCGATTGCTAGAACACAGAAAATAGAATAGCAAAGAAAGTTTTAAAATTGTTTTTTTTTTAAGAAAAAAAAGTGGGAAACGGAACTTGACTTTTGAACTACTTATTGGGACTTTTTCCGTCCGTACCTTGCTTATTGTTGCTGTGAAATAGCGATTTCCAAAAGATTTTTTTGGGAAACTTCAATACAAAAACAGTTATTAGGAATAAAAAACTTTGTGTTTATATGCAAAGCAGGAGGAAACCGCTTAGCTGATGATTGAAATGTAAGTAGACTATGTTTCAACCAAAAACTGAATCAAAACTCCTCAGTCAAACGATGTAGGCACTAACGTATCTAAAAGAAAGACCAATCAGTTCTAAGCATAGCCTGAATTTCATCCGATTACTTCGAATCGTTATTACTCCCTCAGTTGTTGAAAGGAGAAAACGACTCGAAGCAATCGGATGAATTTCAGGCTATTCTAAGCACATATCTGAGTTTTAAAAAATATCCAATTAATCATTGAATTAATAAAATTAATCCCTTCGCCATAATTTTTTTTCCCCCCGTGTGACTAAGTGGTAGTTTTAATTTTTCCTTCTTGCCGGAACGAGAAAAAAAGCTTTAAAATTTCGCTTATTTATGACTCAAAAGCGAGTACCGTGACACTTATGTCACGCCATCGAATTGCCTGACTGGTATGGTAAAATAACACGTTTACCGACTTTTTTTAAAAAATTATTTCTCTTTTTAAGAGCTCTTTTAAATAACATCCTTACAACGCTAAGAACGCGGGATTTCATACGTCGGTATCAAGAATAGCGTTTAGCGTGTATGAAAGCTGTGGGGAATTTATTAACTACCAGCGCAATGGAAGGGGAGAGGGTTGAATGTATGAGAAAAGAGCTTCTTCCATTTTTACTTTGTCTCTCGCTTCGCGCTCGTTCTTGCCCTACTTGCTCGTTCTCGCTCCACCCTCCTCACTCTCGCAAATTCTTGGAAAACAAAGAAAAACATCTGTGGCTGTCGGTATGGGATCACATGACAATGAACTGGATAATGATGAAACTTGCCTTGCTTCACACAGTGTTTATTCTTCTAAAAACAGCTCAGAAGGGAATATAGAATTACAGTAATTGCAAAACAATACAACTGTAGCTTCCTTGAGTGTGATGGTTAAGTACACGCAACAAAACAGAGTATAATGTAGATGTAAATAGAAACAAAGTTATCGTTGATGTACCCTGGGTACCATAGATTTTTGCTCGCGTGTGACGAGGAGCTTCGTCGTCCGCAGCCCGACAAGTCTTCGGCCTTCGGCCGAAGACACGAGAGGCGACCGAAACCGGAAACCGCGCATGAAAAGTCTCTGGCACACAGGGTATCGTTGATGAGCCATTAAATGCATATTTTTAACTCGAATTTCTGTTTTTCAGAGAAAACGTCTTTTCTGAAGTAATCGAAATTAGGGTTTAATAAAATCATATACTAGCTGAGCTCGCCATGTCAACAACTCTGTTCCTGTTCTAGTAAGCTTCTTGTTCACAGTATTACTTATTTTCTCTTTGTGAAAGCCTTGATGTGTTTATATTCAGTCCGGAACAGTCTGTTTAACAGAGATCTCGGTCAGCCGTGAGCTGGACATTTCCAACTTGAGGCTCAGTTCACCCAGACGGGTGAATAAGAATGATCAAACCCGATGATTACTGTGTATATTTTGAAGCTTTTTCGTCAAATATGATTTTATGGATACTGGCAATAAAGTAATGGTGAACGAACTTTCGGAAATGTACCAAATAAAATAAGTAGTTTCATAGTTCCGAGCCCACAATCAAGTAAATTTTAGCTTATGAAAACAGCCGACATTTCACAACAGGGAAACGAGTGGCCGCGTCTCGATATGTCGGTTGCTAGTGATATTTGTCATATAAAAACTAACCCGGCTGGCTCGGTTTACTAGACTCATATAAACAGATGTCCCACCAAAATTAACGGAAACCTTCAGATGAGCTTACAATTTTATGTTCACAATTCACCAAAACTATTCATACCCTAGGCTGTGCTTATATTAGTGTAAGGAAGGGCTATATATGTTTATTATTCATTCAAAATATTTCCCCGAATCTGATTGGAAAAAGCACACGCATAATTCACCATAACCAGCAACCGATGACCAAATTTGGAAGAATTTTGCGATTCATGAGCCGATGACGTCAAAAGTGCAGCCTTCAAGCAGGTTAATGCACCCTTAACCGAGAAGACCTGGGACGAGGTTGAGTTATTTGGTTGTGAAAAAAAAAATGGCGGACATTTCACTCGTTTCAAGAGTAAGAACTAGGCGAAATTATAGCAAAAAACATGGCAAGAATAGCAAGAACACAACTCGAAGGGCGACATCTGCTATTTGGAGAATATTTGCGGAGCTGAACAACCCAAAACGAGCACTATCGAAGGTGAACTTAACATCGATAGAGGTAAGCATGTTTTAGCTTTGTTTTTAAACTAGGAATTATTTTGAATGAATAATAAAACAATTATTGAATTCGGCTTTCGCATCATATGAAGAATTGAAGAATTATGGAGATCGCGGAGGTTGTTATCCGCCTCGGCCTACGGCCTCGAAGGATAACTCCCTCCTCCATCTCCATAATTCTTCATAAGATACTCAGCCTCATTCATTAATTGTTAAATAATAATAATAACAATTAAAATAATACTAATAGTACTAATTATAATATAATATTTTCAGATATTACTGTATTATGTAACGATGCAACGTCAAAAAGACAAATTTAAGGAAGATAAATAATTTCTGCAGCACATGTACTTGCATTTAACTCTACGATAAAAGAGGTTTAAAAGTTTATTTTTTTACTGAAAAGTTATGTTAAAGTAAAAATGCAAGGAAACTACAACTTTCATGTCATGACCTAATAATGAAAACTAAATATCATCATGGAAAGGGCTCCCGAACAGGTTTGACTTGTCTGAATGGCTGCACTAGGGGGTCAGTTTGTCCACAGACTCCAGCTGCGAAACACCCTCATACTACCACAATGAATCCGGGAGTGAAAAATGTATAAGGAGTTTATACAATAACGATGTCACAAACGATCATGCAAGGTGTTGTCACTTGATACCCTGTGAAAAAGAAAAATCAAAAGATAGAGGTGGTAAGTATAAATAAGACCCAGAGATATTCGGAAACTAAAGGGGTTTGCAAAGAAGTAGAAGAATTTAAAAGTCATAGAATAACATTAGCTGAAATGTTGGAGGATGTTATGAGTTCAGAGTTTCTTGATTGAACGATTCAGCAAACAAACGTCGAAGAACAAAGATTGTAGTTCGCCATGCGGTCGACGAATTGCGGGGGTAAATATTTGTCACATTCATGAGTGGTATTCTAGACCTGATTTTGGCAATTTTCCTTCCCCTTTTCCCTTCGTATAACAGCATTTTTGGAATCAAAACGTTTAGCTGATTTAGGACCTTCCTTATTTAATTTCTCTAGTATATAGGGTGGCAAATTAAAGAGACTAGATTGTGAAGAGTGCTGTGTTATCTCTAGAGTGTTCCTCTCACTTCTGACGGCCATCATCAGTTCCATAAATTCGTTTCCGTGTATTTATGAGGGTTAAAACGTTAGATATTCTGTCTTTCAGCTTCTGCACAGAGTACTTAGTTGTAAGTTATACGAGTGGAAATTTTAAATAAGCATCTATTTTCCTTAGTGCTCCTCTGATTACCGTGTGGAACGAAATTTTTGCGGCAGTTTATTTTTGCGGATTGCCGACCTTTTTTGTTTTGAGGAAATTCAATTTTGCGATTAGGACAGATTTTTTTTCTTGCTGGGAATTAATTGTGCGTCTTTTAGAAAGTACCCAGTATGCAGCATTGATAATGTTTGCAGTACGTGCCATAGAAATACATATTTTCAAACAATACCACTGTGTGCGTACCCTATGTAAAACCAGTAAGTTCATTGTATACCGTTTGGTTTCTGATCACGAAAGAGACAAGTTGTAACTGAATAGACACGACTTCTTAGTTCGCATTTTTGTGTAGAGAATTTAAATTAAAGAATATTTACTCTGGAGTAAATTTTGCGGGAAAAATGTTTGCGGTAATATTTATTTGTGCAACTTATTTTTGCGGATCATTGTAAGAATCGCAAAAATTAGAACCCGCAAAAATTTCATGCCACACGGTAAATTTGAAATAAATTTTTGTACATACCAGTCCGTTCACCGTAGACCTAAAGTGCCTTTTTTGGCTATAGATGCAGCCGTCAATCCGCCAAGCACTTCCAACTGCGTGATACCCAAACCAAGTTCTCTACTGGCCCACGTGGCTAGCTCAATGGACATCATGGAATCAACACCATAGTTTGTCATTGGCTGATTCATGTCAATAGCCTCAGAGGGTACTTGCAGTAATTCGGTGAGTTTTTTCTTGATTTTCTCTTCCAACTGCTCTTTATTGAACCCTTGATTGTCAGATGCCAATCGAGTGTCTCGACTAAGATGGCGAAATCTCAGGCTGGTCCTGTATACGAACTGCTGAGTAGCTTCCCAGTTCTATTGAAAAAGGAAAAAAATGCGTTTTAAGAAATTGGAGAAAAAGCATGGAATAAACTATCATTAAAAATGTCCCTAAATGGAAGCTAAGATGAAGAATTTTTTGGCATCCAGCTACAGAATTCTTGAAATAAAAGAAATCATTAAAAAAGTTAGGTTCTTTACAGAGCTCTTATTTTCGTACACTGTAATGAGCAATAAATGTCATGATAGTGATTCCTGGGTGTCCATAAAGTAAGTAAACATTAACACATGAAACAAAAGATTTAACGTTGTTCCCTAATAATATCTTTCGTATCAGCGATTTTATTACTTTTTACTTGATACACCTGCACGTTTACTTTCGTAAAGCATTGCCCACCTAGATTGGCACAAGCTACCTGTGAGAATGTCAGAACTGTAAATTTGACGATTCAACGAAAATTATACATGTATGTGTGCTATTTAAAATGAAGTGTGCATAAACGTTTTCAGTCTTGACCTCGTTTTTTTGCTGCTAAAAGTTCCCCAGAACTAGTTAATAAAAAATTGGAGAGATCGTTCAAAAGAATGCGAGGAACATTTTTTGTTGTAACTGTTTGTAATCAGAGCACTGTATCTTGCAAACGATACTCCAGAAACAAAAGTACATATAACTAGCGAAATTTCGAAGGGCGCCACCCACCTGGTTTGCAAAGCAGATTACAGGTTCATCACATGATTCCAACAGCGTCTCTAGAACAGACAGGACTTCTTCTATATGCAGAGTCAATATCCCCTTGTCGGCTAGCCTCTTGGTAACTTCCACCTTGTCTTCCAGATACCCTGTTCCCCGTACCGCTCCTAGTTGCAAAGAAAGAGCAGGAAGTCCGAGGCTCTTCCGGTGATGAGCCAAAGCATCCAAATATGAATTGGCTGCACAGTAGGCGGGTTGAGCAGGATTTCCCCAAACCGTTACATCTCTCCTGTAGTTATCCTTGTAAAGGTTTCCGACCAGCTCCCACACCAGTACGTTTACAACTCGTGAAGACCGGAATGACAACTTGTAGTTGAGTTCGACGAGGCCAACCTCAAAGTCCTTTAAAAGAAGTTCCTTAATGACTCCAGCCAGGTGGAATATACCTCGTATTGGTGGGATAGTGCTATCTTGACTCAGTTTCTTTATCATAGCCTCCACACAGGACTCTTTTGCGAGGTCCCCAGAAAACTCGTACACCATAACCCCTTGACGTTTCAGAAAAGCTAATGTGCGACGACCCGCGGCATTGTGGCAGCCCTGGCGAGAGGTCAATACGAGATGTTTTGCACCCTTCTTAGACATCCAACGACACAAAGCTAGGCCAATACCACCAAATCCTCCTGTGATTATGTAGGTAGCATCAGGCTTGAATAAGCTGGATGGCATTTTCAGGCATAGCGGCATTGGCTCACTTGAGATGTCAAAAACAATCTTTCCGATGTGGTCACCTTTTGACATCATTCTGAACGTTTCTTTGAAAGCGGAGATGGGATGCACAGTTGTCTTAATAGGCTCAAGAGTGTTACTAGCAAGCAGCTTAGATACCTTTTCAAATATGTTGATAAATGTCTTTGGCTTCCTGCTTAAAAGGATATCCACGTGACACGAAAGGAAGGACTTGTTTTCAAGGAACGCCTTCATGGGTATTTGAGAATTCTCCAAAATGTCTCTTTTGCCAATTTCACAAAATCGACCTCCATGCGACAGAAGAGCGATGCTTTTCTTCATCAAATCGCCATGAAGTGAGTTGAGAATGACATCAACACCATTTCCATTTGTCCAATCCAAGACGTCTTGGCAAAACTGCTCTGATCTTGAGTCTGTAACATGTGTTATGGCCATAGTTTCTTTGAGGAAGCGTCTCTTCTCTTCTGTTCCAGCGCTGCAAATGACCTTGGCTCCAATCATCTTTGCAATCTGCAAAGCTGCTAGTCCAACACCGCTGCATGCAGAATGAATAAGAACAGTTTCCCCTTTCTCCAAACGTGCTCGTTCTACAAGACAGTAGAATGCTGTGGTGAACACGATTCCAACTCCAGCGCCCTCGACCCAGGTAAGATTTTGTGGTTTGTGGACTACGTATTCTTGACTACACTTGACATGTGAAGCAAAGCATGAGTTGAGAAAAACAATAACCTCATCGCCTAAATGAAATTTTGAGACCGATCTTCCTTTACCAGTAATGATTCCAGAACACTCCAAGCCAAGCTCCTTTTTGCCATCTGCCGTGGCCAGTCTTTTCAGCATTCCCATGGCCATCATCACGTCTTTGAAGTTTAGTCCAGCAGTTTTAACTTCAACCAATACTTCATCCTCTCGGAGCATCACGTTCTCAGCTGTCAGAAAGTCTATGTCATCGATACTGTGTTTTCCAGTCTCATCGAAATTGACAAACCCTAGTTTCCATCTGTTAGTGTAGACTTTCTTTGATTCCGTCGGAGAAAAGCGTACCACTCGTGGAACATAGCACCTTCCTAAACGGATGACAATTTCGTGGTCTGGAGGTGGGGCTGCCAACAAATTGATAATATGTGCACCATTCCTTTCATGGGAGTCTGCAGGATCGACGTCCACAGCAAACACAGTAAACTTGTGCGTACCATTTGTTATAGCTCGAGAAAGTCCCAGAGCCGCTGATCCTTCTTGATCTTGTTTTTCACCGCTTGCGCCGCACGTAAGCACCCAAAAGCTTTTGATTCCTGAGATTTTGTTTGCTTTTTTGAACAGGGTTAGAAGATTGGAGAGATGCCTTCTAGTTTTTGAAGAGTGAATGTAAAGAACAATTTGTGATTGCAATTCCAATGTGTCTTCCTCTTGCATATCGTTTACGTCCGATAGCATTCGAACATTTCTTGAATTGTTAAAGCTACTCGCAAGTACCTTGGCCAGAGGATCGTTTTCTTCTGCTATGATTATGATTTCTTCATCATGGGATGAACGAGAAGATACTATAGCTGCTTTTTTGCTTTTATACCCTCCGATAACACTTGGGGAATATTCTTCAGAAGGAGAGACTGCGAAAACATCAACAAAACCATTTCTGGTCATGACATCATTCCAGCGTATTTTGGGAGGATAGAATTCTTCTTTAGCATTTGGCTTCGGCAAAGGTGCGAAAATAAGCAGCCCGCCTTGCTCACACAACAACTGCTGAAATGCCATCAAGCTTTTTTCCATACTGACAGTGGGGTGAACTATGTCCAAGGAAATAACGAAGTCAAAGCTTTGTGGAATAAATCCCTGCTCGTCTGTGTTTTTCCCTGGTTCAAGGTAACTGTACTTGACAAATGCGAAATCTTTTAGTTGTTCTTTAGCGTTTTGTAGAAGCAATTCGCTGGAGGCAGAGAAGATGTACTCCACCTCATTCGTTAGACCTTTTTCTTCAAGATGTGGAAGAAGGCTTTTTGATAGTTCGGCATTCTCGTCACCAGTTAAGAGTACGCGAATGACTTTTTTCTCTTGAAATCCATCTTGGATAACTTGTGCAATGGAAAATGCGCTTGTTTTGAGGTGTTTTTCTGTTGATTTCCACCAATGCTTTTCCCAGTGTTCCTTTGGCAATACCCGACTTTCCTCTGCACTCGAGAAATTCGAAATAACAGGATTGTTTTCTTCAAAATGCTCAAAAGGACTACACTCCTGTTTCGTTCCTGAAAAAGCTTTTTTGACGTCTTGCCTCATAGCGTTTACCGCATTTTTATTTGCACCCTCTTGAAGGTTAATGGTATTTCTTATATCTCGGAGAATAGCGCCATTCTGTTTTGTTATTAATCCATCATCGACAATCTTGGAAGCTATTATTTCAGGAAATGACCTTCTTGTTTGCCCAGTGAATTCCATTTCTTTACTTAAACTTGTTGCAAGGCTCGAAAACTTGAGGCATGACTCTAGTGGTTGAAATTTGGTAGAATACAAACAATTTTGGACATCTTGCTTCGCTTCTCTGTTCCGAATAGCTTGAGTATGAACACCTTCGATCAAAGCCAAAATTTGTCCACTCCTCGTTGCCAAGGTGACGTTTCCAGTCAAAAACGATCCGTCATGATCCAATACTACAGCATGAGCAGCAAGCTCTTCTCCAGAGGGAAGTGAGGGCACCTCCATCTGAAAGGATTCAATCTTGATAGGGATGTACAGTGACGTGCAAGGACCTAATGCAGCAATAACCAGTTGGAGGCAGCCGTCAAGGATGGTTGTTTGAATCCGCTGTACACTGTCAGATGCAGCCTCTAGAAGTCCAAGGGCTTCACCGTCACCCAGTAAGACTTCTTTCACTGTTTGAAAGGCAGGGCCATACTCGTAGCCATTCTTCCTAAGATTCTTATAGAATATCTCTTTTCCAACGGTATCCTTCAGACGTAGACGGATCTCATCCATCGGTAAGGTGCGTGGCGGAAAATTCTCTTTGCTTGCGACTGTTGCTTTGCAGTATACAACATCGCTGTAGCTAATATAAGACTGGGATCCTTCTTGATGGAATTTTAGCGAGACAGTTCCTGTGTGGAAGTCACCTCCCTCGTTTGCCTCGCTTGGCCATATTAAAGTTTTGTTAAAGTGTACATTGTTCAGAAGTGGATTTTCGTCCGGCATGAAGCACATTTGGAGTAAGTACTCAACATATCCAGCTCCTGGGAAAAGCAACTGGCTTTGAATGACGTGGTCTTTGAAAAAGGGATACTTATCAAGAGACAAACGACCATTTCGTCCTTTGAAACTTCTGTCCCCCAGCCCAAGCCTTTTCTTTTTTCTTTCCTCAGATTCTTTCCAATGGGACTGATGCTGCCATGGATATCTTGGTAACGGTTGCCACACTGCACAAGTTCGTGCAACGTTATCCCACTTAATGAATTTTCCAGCCACATACAAGGATCCAACAGATTGCAAAAGAGAAACGCGGTCATCTTTGTTTCTTTGGCCACATGGGATGGTGCCGACATGACTATACTTCGGTGTATTGCTGATAATCTGTCGAACAGACGAAAGCAGTGTCACTGAAGAGGCCAGTTCCAAAAAAACGTCTGGTTGTTCTTCGTCAAGAATGCATTTAATTGCTCGTTCAAACTTGACTGGTTGTCGGATGTTCTTCCACCAGTAATCTGTGCTAAACATTCCATCGTAGCGCTCTCCGGTGACGGTTGAGTAGAGTGGAACTTCGTTTATTCGTGTTTTTGTCGTTACTGCACCAGACATGGATCTCTCAAAAGACATTTTTATAGTCTCCATATGAGGGGTATGGAAGGCGCACTGTACTCGCAGTTTTTTTACAGTGGTTGGATTTTCCTGCGATAGACTATTAATTGCTTCGTTCTGACCTGCGATTGTGATTGACTTTGGGGCATTGACTGCTGCAACGTAGACGTCTTTACTTTCAGAACAGAGGTTTTCTACTTCCTGCAACGTTGCACGCACAGCCGCCATGCTTCCCGTTCCTTTAAGTTTCCTCTGCTCGTTGCAGCGATGGTAAATAACAGCTACTGCTTCTTCGATTGTTAATCCACCACATGCATAGCTGGCAGCTACTTCACCTAAACTGTGACCCACAATGACATCAGGTTGCACTCCCCAAGCTTTCAGTAATTCTAACAGTCCTATTTGGAAAAACAGAATAGCGGGCTGCGACACCTCTATTTCATCAATAACAGAATTTACCATGTTAGCATCTGCGTTTAGGAAACAACCAAAGTCGTGAATGATTGATGTGCCACTCATTTTCTTGAAAACTGCATCGCATTTTTTGACTGACGTTTGGAAAACTGGCTCTGAACGATACAATCTGCTGCCCATTGCACCCCATTGCTGCCCTTGACCAGGAAATATGAAACAAATTTTTTGTGCTTTACATGGTTGGGAAAGAGGTACTATGACGCCATTCGCAGTTGATTCGCCGTTTGAATACCCAAGAAGAGCATTGCAAAAGTTTTTGCCAGAGTTTGAAACTACAGCAATTCGAAAATCGTGATGCAATCGACGCGCAGACAGCCATGACACAACGCTTAGGGCATCCATAGTGCTTGTAAATGAACTCCACTCTTTGGCCAAATCTTCAAGCGCTTTCTTGGACCTGGCAGAAAAAGGAATTAAAATGTGTTCCCCGAATCCATCTCCACCAAATGTCCAGTTACATTTACGCTGCTCTTTCGATGCTTGCTGAGGTGATTGTTCAAATACAGCATGAGCAAGAGCTCCCGCAAATCCAAAGCTGTTGAGCGCTATCCTGTGAGGAGATCCACTACTCAAGTCTTCCACTTTTGTTACCACTTGGAGATTAAGGTTTTTGAAGTCGATGTTAGGATTGGGATTTTCAAAATTTACACTTGGACAAAGAATTTGCTTTTCAAGCATGAGCGCTACTTTGATGGCTGCAGTGACACCGGCTGCACACTCACTATGTCCAAAATTACCCTTAACAGATCCAATCTTAAGAGGAGTTTGTCGTTGAGAACAGAGAGCTTTTGAAATAGCACGAGCCTCTATGGGATCACCAACAGGGGTACCAGTACCGTGTGCTTCTACGTAATCAACTGATGACGGAAGAATGTTGCAACGCTTGTAAACCTCTTTCATGGCATCGTGCTGAGCTGACGCTGACGGCTTTGTAAGACTGCTTGTACTGCCACTTGCTGCTATGGCACTCTCACGGATGACTGCATAAATATGATCTTCACTCTGCAAGGCTTGATCCAAAGGCTTTAGGATAAGTGTTCCCCACCCTTCACTGCGCACATATCCTTTTGCCGTGTTGGAAAATGGGCAGCATTGACCATCTGGTGACATCACACCCAGAGAACTGAATCCAACTGAGACTTCTGGTGCAAGAAGACTGTTACAGCCCCCTACCACTGCTACAGAACATTCTTTGTTCCGAAGAGCACAGCAAGCTAAATGTAGTGCTGTCATAGATGAGGCACAGGCTGTATCGACAGCAAGACTGGGTCCCTTGAAGTTGAAGACATACGAAAGACGGTTGGCAGCCACACTGTGCGTCACTCCAGTAAGGCTATATGCGTCAATTAAGTTAGATTCCAAGATAGAAAACATGTAATCCATCATTCCGATGCCAACGAACACGCCGCAGTCGCCGTTTAGTCCCCAGGGGTCGATACCAGCATCTTCAAAGGCCTCATAAGTAACCTCTAGAAGATGCCTCTGTTGTGGGTCCATCGAAGCCGCCTCACGCGGAGATATTTTAAAAAACGAGTGATCGAACTGATCGATGCCTTTTATGAAACCACCACGGTTTGAAACCATTTTTCCTGTCTCTTTTCTTTCATTGTTGTAAAATGTCTCTAGACTCCAGCGGTCTGATGGAACTTCTGTTATTACGTTTTGCCCCTTCCTTAAAACTTCCCAGAAATTTTCAGGGGAGTGAACATCTCCTGGGAAACGACAGCCTATAACAGAATTGCAAAAGCGAGGTAGTCAGTTACATTCGCAGTATTTGGGGCCCTTTCATGCATATTACGGTGTGGTAAGTTTTACTTTGCAGATTCGCATTGGGGTAAAGGTATTTTTACATTGTTGCAGATATTTCCCTCTATGAGGGATGTTGACTTGTTGCTGAGACCGGCGAAAAACAGGTTTTAAAGGTAATTCACATTTAGGAGACTGCGTGCAATCGATGGCAATTGTCACATTTCTCAGTTTTTTCCTTCCCTGCCCCATATGGTTAACCGAACTTGAAAAACAAGCCAACTTAGCTTTGAGCGGCGGGGCTGATAAACGTTGTTAAGTTTTTCGAACGGTATAACCCATTTGAGCAACTTCGTCAAATAATTTAGAATTGTGGGAGTAAAAATATTTCTGCAAATATAAATAAAAGTGACCGATGCTGCATAAAAAAGAATAAAGCTAAATGGACAGGTTTCCTTCTGTCCTATCCTGAAAAACGTGCGCAACAGACTGTCACAAGCGTCAATTTGCAAGTTCTAAACTTTTCGGATTGTTGCAGACCATGAAAACCGCTAGCCTGTTCGTACATCTTTGTTTCTGTTAAGAACTGAACGAACTGCCGGTGAAAATACGAGTTCATTATACTTCAATGCTTTTCGCTTTTCTGTCTGACTTACCTATTCCCACAATAGCAATCGGCACAGGTTGACATTTAGATATGTCTGGAGGATCCTTCATCTTGATATCCCGGGGCCTTCTTTACTCTGATCGGTATCTAGAGAGAATGGAAAAAGAAAAAGTTGATTTTACGTCTGAGGCTGTTCGGCGAATTTAAAAACAAGGTCGATCCGGCCATTTCACAAAGAACGCCGGAATAATAACGTCCCTACGAAGCTCAGTCCTTGTAACATTGATTACTACGGTATTTTTGGAAACAAACTATCGCAAGTGCAGTTCAGTCCAAAGCCAAAATATGACGCAAAATTTTGTTTTCACGACAACTTCCATTTCAAAGCCGAGACAACTATGTCCACTTGCTTGATTTTCAACACGAGTAAAGAGGAGAACTTAAAACAGTAAGACTATTCCAAAAACCTAAACTATAGATCAGTACTAAGTTTGTCTTAGAACTTTATCCACAACACGAACAATACAAATTTTGTGACTATGGTGCATGTAAACCACTTCATTCATGCGTAAAATAGCCTGCAAAACAATACGCTGCTGCACGAAAGTGAGAGTTTGAATGGCATGCTCTTTTCCACATCACTTTTATTTTATTTACCTAATTCCTCAGGACACTCCCGAAACCTTTATAGCAGGTTCAGAGAGTTCGTAAGGTCAGAGTCGGTGGCGCACAATTAAGCTGTTCTCCGGAAACTTTCGTGCATGCTTCGATCACTTTTACGACTGAATTTTGCTTAATAATCCTCGCAATGTCAGGGAACCACGAACTTGTCAAATGCGAAAAATACATAATTTACTCGTAACACAAAACATAAATTATTTGCTCGGTTACTCTCTTTCGATAGGTGTGCCTAAAATTATCTAAAAAATGTTTCTGCCCTGTCTTTAAAGGCAGAATAAAAAAAACGGAAAGGTGTTTACCCCTTACGAAAGCAAAGCAGAGGAAATTCAGCATTTCATCAACTCATCTGTGAATGTGAAGGCTTAAATTCTATGCTTAAAGGAGCTGTGTCACGAAACTCAGCCAGATTAGGAAATTTCAAAATGCCTGTTAAATTAAGAGAAACATAAAAATAAAGGAAGCTTAAAATAACATAACAGAAACAACAGATGCCACGGATGGGCAAAACTGAAGAAGATTGAAACGGATTGAAATTAGGATTTTTGAAAACTGTTCAGCCTAACAGTTTTTCAAAGTTGATCCCAGCTGCTTACAACTTCAAAAATAATGCTCAGGAGACATATTTGCTTGTCTCGGATCTCTGATTTTGTCATTTACTTGTAATTTCTTTGCTTACTTTAAGTTCCATAGCGATTGAGGGCGAGTAATTGGCAAAATTAAACAGAATGAACTGGACGCCGTGATACGGCCCCTTTAATCTACACAACTTACCAAGGCTTTACTGAGTGTTGTAATGAGTATGTGTTGAATACCGACCAACTCAACAATCCTATCAATCAGTTGTAACCTAACTTTGTCGACCTTTGTTTTCCTGGTCATTGTTGATTGGATCCCTTGACTGAGCACCATTTAAACGCTGGGATCAAAGAGACTAAAGAACTTTTGTTTGGCTAAGAGAAAAGTATATTTATTGTTTTGATTGTATCTTTAGCACAGCAACCTTGCAGAGGGATTTCATAATGGTTTTCAATTAAATAAAAAAACGCAATGGGAATGTTTGTGATCTAGGATTTCTTGAGCTACTTTTCAACCAATAAATCCTTGATCAGGATTCAGTCAATAAGGAAACCAAGGCTTGTTCAGAGGTCCCTTATTGTGTTCTTGTAGATATGTGAAGCAATACACAAGTCAAAGTTTTGGTTCGTCAGTATCACAAATGAAATTGCTTTTGCTGAGTTGGGTCAAAGTAAAGCCTCGCTGACGTTCTAAGGCAGCTGATTGGTGAAAATTTTTGTCTTTTAAGATTTAGCGAATAGTCCTTGTCTTCAAAGGCTAGCATATAAAAAACCTTTCAGAAGATGACTAGAGGTTTGCAGTCGACGTGACTGTATGTCTCTCTACTTTTCTAACCAGTCTGTTTGCACTTCCATTGTATTATTTATTACACGCATAAAGTTGTAACTTGACTAACATCAAGCAAAGAAAAACGGATGTAAAAAAGTAGAAAGCATCTGATTCATAGACACCTTTCAGTGATGAAAAAATGAAAATTGAAATGACAGAATAGCTTATGCTCGGTGTACAATATATTCTATAACGCCGCATTCGATTTAAAAGCTGGTCCCGGTTGTTTAAACGTTGGATAGCGCTATCTATTCTTTCTAGTACCTTTTTTGCTCTATACCAGAGATTTTGTAATTATGGAAACTAGGACAAAAAAATCGCGAAAATAGTACCAAAAAACGAAACAAAACAATAACAACAAAAAAAGTTAAAAATCGGAAAGGCCAGGGAGGCTCTCGGGAAGTCTGCGATTTTAGCAGAAACCCTGTTTGGCTTTGAAATTTTGGGAAACTACATAACTACATAACTAGTGCAGCAACTGATTAAAACATCTGTTGAGCCTGCTAACAAACTATTGGAGGCACACTGACGCTGGGGCAAAAAATGAGTGAGAGTTTTGTCTACAACTGTCGAAAAATACAAAAAAAATCATCCCAAATATAGGAAAAAAGCGATATTAACGAAAGGATCAGTCATAAGGTAAGAAAGGCAAATGTGCAAGGCCCTTAAAGAAACCAAGGAATTAAGAAAATATAGTAGAACTAATAAGGAGTTTATCGATCTGCAATGTGAATCTGACTTACGAATAACAAATTAAACAAAATAAAGGATATAAAATGTGAGAAAGGCAAAAAGGCCCTCGAGAAACCGCGATTGTAGCACAATTTATAGCAAAATTTCGAAGGATTTTATACAAGCAAATGGCAATGAAAAGGTAACGGTCGAGGCCAAATCAAGCAAAAAAACTGTTTTTGTGATTTTTCTTAAAGGTCAGTGACTTTGCATAACCTTACATCTTGCTTATGATAAGGATAATCATACCTGTACCACTACTGAAATGAATAGAGGACCGTGAGAGAGAGTCTTGTGCACTTTTTAAAATCTTTACCTATCGACGTCTTCTTTCTTGATTTATCTGAACAATCTGAAAGTATAACCAAGTATATTTCGTTAATGCACGGCTTTGTTAATTCTTTTCTGAGGGGAGGGGTTTGCCGCACCCTGGCTAAAGGCGATGATCCATGAAAGCCTTATTCTCACAGTTTTTGCTGATGATTAGGGAAAGAATACAACTTGATATTTCACTCGGACATTTATAAAATTCAACATATTAAAAATAAAATTGTTATCGGCATCACACAATGTGTCGAATGGACTAGGCTTAATTAGAAACAGTAGAAATGCAAAGGCTATGATTGTCATGAAATTTATTTATATGTTACCAAATATAATGAAGTAATAAAGAACTTGCACGTGTCCTGAATTAAAATAGACCCTTTATTCTTGCAACTATTCACAAAGAGGTACCAGGGTTGAATTGACGTTACTAGATACGGCAGCTTAGTTCTGAGCTTGCTCTGGTGACTAGGCCAGCCCGGCGGGTTAAACGAGATGTTTGTGTACTTGATAGGGTCTAATAGCGCCCATGAAAGCATTACCGTAAGGTGAAAAAGATGGCTTTGAACCTTGATGACGACCTTTTTAACGGTCTAAATGTTGTGCCGGTTTCTCGTTTTTACTCGTTGAATACTTTTTAAAATAATTTATAATTTCATCATAACTTCTTCAATATACAGAAATCATTACGAAATGTCAAGGACACGCCAGAGGTAATGAAGCTGAACTTGAGTTGTTTTAAGGGAAAATGCATGAATATGTGAATATTTTTCGACTCTTAACAAAAGCGCAAAGGGATCAATTAAGCGAGTAATCTTACACGCCGGCCAACTACGTGCTCAATTATACTTTCTATTTCCACCTTCGTAGTTTCGTTTTACAGAGGCTCGCATTCTTGATCAGTTTATAAGGCAAGATCTTTGTCAACCGAGCAAGCCCAGTAAACCGGATTTTCTAAGACTTAAGACTATTTTTTTCTCCGTTATATATTTGAGGCCTAAGGGACACTAGACACGAGACACATTAATAAAGACCCCCTAACGACTAGATTATCACCAAAAAATATACGGTTAATTTTTTTTACGACTAACGGCTAAAGATTTTCACTTTTAAAGCCTTTCGATGATAAATTTTTGGCAGTAAATGTTATCCATCGAGAGCATCAAGACCACTAATTTTTTGGTATGAAGTTAAAAGTTCACTCAGCAAAGACTTAGCTCGTTACTTGTATATGCTA